TCGTGTCCCGTATCTTAATTCTGTATTTTTACATTGATGTATAAAATTTCGATCAAGTGTGTATATGCGTAGTCCGACCGCTCTTTTTCTTTTCAGGGATATGTTATCGATCCAGTGGCACCGGCCTTTCTTATTATTTTATTAGGTTTGTTTTGCATTATGTTGCATGTCTGCACTTGCCTAATTATTTTTCATTGTTTATTTCTGTGCATATGGGATTCCACAAAAACTATAATCCATGCTTATTAAAGCTTCTAAGATTATAAATTTTATGCTCAAAAATTCATATATAAAACGTTCAAGATAATTAAAATTTTGGATTAAAATATTTAAGATTTTAAAACCTGCTTTTACTTTCCTGCATGGCCATCGGGACAGATTTAAATGGGTTGCATGTATGGCTATCACCAAATAATAGAGCCTCCACAATACTTAAGGACCGCTCTAGATAACTGAATCATATTTGCATGTCCCGGAGAGGAGGCCCCGTGCCTCTTCAACCCGACTAGACAAGCATACATTTTTGTATAGGAGGTTTTCTAATGCGCTAGGTTGATAGGAGGCTCCACGACCCAGCCAGGGTGTAAAGTTCTCTTGTTTGGAGTGTTTCCAACTTTTTAGTTGAACCTCTACTTCTCTTCTTTTCCTGAAGAATTCTTGCCAGTTTGACATGTGTAAGACCCACCTCTTGGAGCTCCAGCCGATAGTCATAGGATAGAGTTTTGTTCTTCTGACATTAGGGCTACCGAGATTCCTGTGGATGATGCAATTCACGGATTGTTGGTCGTGGATTTCATTACATGTTGGGTCGATTACTTTCACGACAAGTAGACTTGGGGTCCTAGTAGTTGTGAATGACATGGTCTGTGGTACCCTAACCGGATAACTCTATTTTCCTGTTGTTGAGCACCTTTGAGCCCGATTGCTCCTTGACTTCGTTGATATCATTTTGACGACCCGATGTCGATGAGCTGTCGCCTATTTCAAATATGATGATTTATCCTCTCTCCTTATGGCCCGGACGTACTTTGACGTGTTGGGATATCACCGTCAATATAATTTAGGTTATTCTGTGGGCTTCGTATGCCAATAAGTCGCTACCCATTTGGGATGTGAGAGACTCACTCTGTCTGATGGCTTAGCAAGAGCTTTGAAGCATCATGGCGTTCCCACACAGAATAACTTTCCTTTGAGTACTTATTGCCCCATGATAATGGAAATATAAGTGAAACTCTTTTTATCGAGAGTATTATTGAGTACCTCTCAAGATGTAATTAATTAAATGGGATACGTCTCTTTAGGAGTGCTCTTGACCCCAGAATAGACACCTATAGTTGAATCTTCAGTTATGGGTAGTCTACGTAGGTATTATTTTGCGGATATCAGTCCAAGGTGCCTCCACCCGATCTTCTTTGGGCAAACGTGTTTGGCATATCCTTGCGATATCACATGAATCTCTGGTTATGGGTAGTCTATGTAGGTATTCTTTCGCAGATATCGGTCAAAGGCGCATCTGCCCGATCTTTTTTGGGCAGACATGTTTGGCTTATCCTTGTAAGGTTTATCACATGTAGGCTCTCCACGTTTTGCGTTTTCTCTTGTCTGTCTTCATTTTCGTATGTTCGTTTTTTTTCTATTCCTCTCTTCAATTAGTCATTTACATAGCCCAGAAGAGAGATTTATTCTGGAAAGGGAAGTATACGGTGACCGATGGACAGACGACTACCTCAAAAATAAAAGAGAGAAAAACAAACAGAAACAATACTAAACAAACTTCCTGTGCCAAGTTCGAAGTTACGGTAGTCTGACCGAATAAAAACTGTACAGACTAACGACTACTTCTAGTGATGGATGACCGAACATTATATGCACCACAGGCGATAAATGGGACAAAAAAATGTAGTATGGTAAAAAACAAAATAATCAAAAAACCGGTTGAATGTAATATTGAATTTCATTCATTTACTCTATTAGTTACAAAATTTATCATTCATTACAATTGAGCTTATACATAAAAAACAAAAACAGACTATTTCCATGGTACATGTAAGTCACACAACTAGATCACGCATTATAGGAGTCGTCAACCGCCGCTCAGTCAACTTGAAACTTGCCACCTCTTGTTGGCACTAAGAGAGGAAAAAAAAGCTTGACAAATCCATTCCGACTCGCACGAACCGGTTAATCGCCAGCTCGGTGCCGAGCCAGAGATTCTTGGTCTGGCCCACAGTGAACTCCACGACAATCTTCATGGCAATGATTTCCTTTGAAAATTCCACGTTCTCGTCCAAAAAAACATATAACAACTCAGAAGCGCCCTCTAAGTATTCCCCAGCGTTAGTTAGCATGGTCATTGCTTTACAACTTCAACCAAGCGGGCCACTGCTTCAACCGCCCATTCTTTGGACGCCAATGCTCGGGCCTCGCGAGCATGGCTCACCTCATTGCATTGGTCATTGACTTCTTGGCCCCAAGCTATCGGGCTATCAGATGGTGGGACGAAGCGAGCCCTAAAATTTGAATCAGTTGACCAAGCAGTAGATCTCCTATGGGTCATATTCATTTAGATGTTGCTCCAAGATCTCGACAATTCCTTGTTCTCATCCAAACTAACGAATAGCCAGTCAGAAGCGCCCTCTAAGTTTCCCTCGGGCTTAATTAATAGGGCCACTACTTCAACCGCCCACTCTTCGGCTTTAGCCAAGCGATCCACTACTTCAGCCGTCGTTCATTAGTCATCAATGTCTGAGCCTCCCCGAGCTTAGCTCACCTCACTACATCAGTCTTCGACTTCTTGGCCCCAAGGTACCGGGCTATCGGGTGGTGGGACGAAGCAAGCCCAAAAGTTGGAATCGATCGACCAAGAACATATCTCACATGGGTCATATTCATTCAATTGCTTCTCCAAGATCTTGGACAACAAGACGCCTGCAACTGTGGTAGCATGCTAGTCTGCACCGGGACCATTTGAATATTAATCCAACAGAATGTCAATGAGAGCAAAACTGGAGTCCTTAGTCACAAAACCAGCTTCTCCTGCATCGAGCTCCAATCACCTGCTCCTCTATACCTCTTTCCCGGAGGAAGGGTAATATCATTCTCAGGTGCTTGGAGGAGCCTTGCCCTTTTGACAGCGAGCTTCCTAAGAAGCAGTCGGCTCGGCCTCGAACTCTATTTCAACCTCGGCGGAGGCCTCTCCAACGATCACCGCAGCCTTAGACAGTAGCCCGGGTTCGAGAATCATTGGAGATGCCCGACTAGCTTCCCCACTATGTGATTAAGGTGGTGAGGCTCACATATCGAGGACTGGCAAGCGATTAGTTAGGCAGTCCATCTGAGCGCTCATCAACATCCGATTAGAAGTAACTAGGAGTCTGGATGGTTTCTTCTTCACAAACTCTCTTACCTAAATTCAACAAAGGGCTTTTGCTCGATCAATATCAAATCACCAAGGAAAATATTTTGAATTATAACTATTGTTTCATAAACATAGTGCATTAAATCTAAACCCGGAATCCCAAACACGGGACAAGTGGTCGCCTCTGACTCTTCTCAATCAAGCTACCTCTTAGTGCAGCCTTTTCTTCTTCACCGGTTGTGAGAACCAATCCAGCTATCGATTTTCCTCCGCGGCATCAAACGCCGCCCAGAACTCCGATGTCATTGCCCCGAACTCCCTCGAGTTCAAAACTTTTTTAAATTTAGTCATGTCGGTGTATTGAACGACCAATAAGATATTTCCCTCCATTATGAAATACATGCCTCATATCCGGTCAAAGACCAACTTCTTTTTCTTGCATGAGCCTCCAGTTGGTTGGCTCAACACTTCGAATTCTCAGTCCGATCGAATGATGAACCTATGCTTCCAATCCGTTATTTTATTTTCTATGCCGACCAAATGAAACTTCTAGTCGGCCCCGAGACCACGTAACCGTCAGGCTCTTCCCAGAAGGAAAACATATATAAAAACAGCTCCTGTGACTATGGTATATCCATCCGCCAGCAATAGACCATGTAGGTCATAATCAACGTGATGGAGTTAGGCTTTATTTGGGCAGGAACCACCCCATTGTGTTTTGGTCGACACCTCCCTCTCGAGCCCAAATAAAGCGACAGCATCAGCTGAACCAATGTTCGACACCTCTATCACTGCAAATGAACCAAAGCGCTACAGAGAGTATTTGTTCGCCATCTCCACAAAATTGACCCAAAGCAGGAGAAAGCAAGGAAGAGAAAATCGACCGAAGGATGGAGAAAGAGTCAAATGCACCAAAAAATCTACAACAAACCTTTATATAGAGATTTCACGCACAGCCCAAAACGGCGCCTTGATTTTGGAAACCTATTAAATTGGCACAAGTTCCAAAATGGGTACAAAAAATAAATTCATTTCAAATTAACAATAATTCTTATTTTATTCAGATAAAAAGTACTTTACAAGCGGGATATCAACTGCCTTAGGAAAAATGACTCCCCCGCCAAACTAACTTTTGGTACAACACTTGACTGTCGAACCTAAGAGTTTGTTTAGGCCGGCGGTGCGATGGTCGTGTGGTGTTGCACCGCAGTTATTTATGTTCAGCAAAAATTATGTTTTGCCACCGGACCTGGCTAAGAGTATGTTTGGGGGCGTGGCTGGAGGGCTTCTCGGCACTCCACCGCTGATTTCCCCTCTTTGGGAGCGCGGCAGGGTAACTTAACGGCCATCGCTGGAGAAATTTTCGCTAAAAGCCAGCCATGAAATCTACTCCATGGCGCGCGTTCTGCGATTCTCTTTTTACCTGGTTGCCCCTTCGATCGTTCGGTTTGTTACGCGAAGTCAAGCTCTGCTCCTTCCCTCTCCTTCTCTCTCGTTCGTTTCTTTGTCGGTCATCTTCTCTGGCAGTTCGGCTTGTTCGTCGGTCATCTTCGGCAGTTCGGCTGGTTTGATCTTCTTCCTTTACTACCCGAAGCCCTGTCCATCGATCTCCTTCCTCTTCTATCCTCTCCCTCAAAGCTCTTCCATCCTCTCCCTCAAAGCTACGCAGCCCGTCGAAAGGTTGTTGTGCCATCTGTGGATCGAGCGTTTCATGTTGGAAAAAGGTACTGCTGCTTGATTGTTATCCATTTCAGTCCTTCGTTTAATCTGTGACCAATTCACAAAATTTATTATATAAATTGCAATCGATCTCTTTTGTCAGTGGACACATTCGACCGTAAGAAGATACCATAGTCGCTGCAGCAAAAACAGTGCGCCTCCCGAGCTCTTTACATTTGCTGCTTCTTTCACTGGCACTTTTTCCCTCTTTGGTCTGATCCGTCCTATTCTTCTTTTCTCTGCCGCTTTTTTATTTTAAGTTACTTAAGAATTTTCTTTTGTAGGCAACGTATAACTTGTTTGAATGTGAGGCATGTGCAGACAACCTAATTCTAGCGACTGCTTTAAAATAATGCTCAAATTTGGAATGTGTTTTCTTATTTGGATGGATTGCAGAGTGCTAAAAGCCCATAGTTACATTACATTGGATTAAATTTCTTAAAATTTAAAGATTATTTAACGATAAATTACTTTTTAAAAGTCATCACTTATCTTCTCTCTATAAGGTTTCATGGTTTTGGCATTGGAAAGAGATCGATTGGATTTAGCATCAGGACTGAAGTGAAAAAAGGGTTGTTTGTGTGAACTTCTTTATCTTTTATTTGCTAGTACATTGAGAAAGAAAAGCAATACATTTTATTTCCATTAAGAGGCCGATTGAGGAAATGCTAACTGTATTTTATAAATTTCAAATCGATTTATTGTTTCATTCCAAATCGATCGACTTTAATTAAATTATAATATTTTCAAAGGAAATCTAACATTTGTAGCATCTAAGATTAGTTAAGGCAGTATGTTTGTTAAAATTAAGATTTGTGTTATAAGTACATACATAAGGATTGGGTGGTATTGGTTGCTTCTGCAACTCAAGTTAGCAGACCATTAATCATGGTGGGAGGCTTCTAGTTTTGTCAGGATAATTGCTCCATCTCTGAAGTTAAAAATAGAAATGCTTGCATGGCAATATTTTATGAGATACAATTTTTTAATCCAGTCACTCCTCTTTAAATTAAGAGGTATGTTTGCTAATATTTCTAACAAATGGTATGTTCACTAATCTTTCTATTATTTAAATTTAGAATCCTAGAGAATATGCAATATATACTTATGACTTATATTCATACCCTTGTGATTTTGTGTTCATGAACCTTATCATTTTGTATTTGATATGCTTCAATTATGGTGGGTTTAATGTCTAAAGTGAAATTTCATATTTACTATTACAATGACACTTTATTAATTTATGTTTCATCCATTTAAAGCCTACACAAAACCTTTTGAGAACATCTTAGTCAGCCTTCCAAAAACATAAGGTGGGGAGTTCGGGAAATACTTCAACTTACCTGCTCTGAAGGATTCAAGGATGGTATCTACTTATATTTCATCTTGTAAGAATCTTTATTTTTCTTGGATTTATTTACTTATTTCAGATGTATAATGATGATCTTTTATACTTCATTTATGATAGTGTTTTTTTCATCAGAGTCATGTCTTTATGATCGTGATTGGTTTTATCATTAATCAATTTGTTTATCTTTTATACATCCTTTGTGATAGTGTTTTGTCATAATCAATATGTTAATTGTTTTTTACACTTGTTTTATTTTTATGTTATAATAATTTGTTTTATTTTAGCAATACAATGGCTAATATGATCAAAGATACCGGTACACCGGCAATATGGGAAAAGAAAACAATATTATTATTTTGTGACATCTGTCTTAAGAAGATTGAACTTAGAAATAGACTCACAACATATTTTAATAAGAAAGGATGACAACATATTATCAAAAATTTCAAGGAAAGTACGGGCAGGATGTATGACAGGTTGCAAATGAAGAACAAGTAGGATCAACTCAAGAAGGATTGGAAAATTTAGAAGGAATTGAAACGTGGATTAACGGGCTTGGATTGGGATCCGGTGAAATGAACAATTGATGCTTTGGAGGAGTGGTGGACTGAAATACTTGCGAAGAACAATTTTTCATTTATATAATTTTATTTATTTTATTTTTTAGTACTGATTGAACTGTTTAAAATAATTTTGTAGGTGGTGCCGGCAGCGAAGAAGTTCAAATTTTGTGGCATTGTCCCCGTGTTTGAGGAGAAGCTGAACCGTATGATTGAGGGTGTTGTTACAACAGGCAAATATGCATGCTCTCCAAGTGAGACAAGGTTTTGTGGTACCCTTGAGAATGTGGCCGTCAATCTAGCATGTGATTGACACGATCTCGACACCATTTCCTGGGGTTACCATTTTGAGCCAACAGGGACTATTCCAGCCACTTTTACTGTCAGAGTAATTACACTAACCTGGCATACTATTTAAAAGTTTTGGAGAATTTACATACTAACCACACAATTCTTATTCATTTACATATCTGGTACTTAAAAGTATGATATTTACATTCATAACTTTTTGGTATTAAAAACCTACGCATTAAAGTAGTATTTTATATTTAAGAAGTTAGTGATAATGATATTTTTGATTTGATGTCCAATATTTTAGTATTATGCATGCAAATGTGATTGTTTTGGTTTTAGCTGTGTAAATATGTAGGTAAATATAAGAAATGTGTGATTTGTATGTAAATGCCCCAAAAGTTTATTTAAAAATTGTAATATACACATTTATATTAATGTCTGCGGTTCTGAGCTTTTGATTTATGTTGATCTACTTCTCCAGTCTGCGGTGCTCAGGGAAGCAATTGATGATCTGGAATGGCCTGGTTCCAGCGTCCAGATGCGCATAAGACCTGATCCTCCCTCGGCAACTTTCAAAGCTTAGGGCCATGGCTTTAAACCCAAGTCCACACCACTTGGGTTTAAAGCCTGTTGCTTGTGAATTTTTCAACAAAATATTTTATAATTGAACCTTTCATGATGTGCTTTGAGAAATTTATATATAATATTATATAATTATTCATATTTATATACATGTAAAGATATATAAAACAGTATCATTAATTGTCCCATCTCATAAGCCCCTTCCCGTGAGCTACAGGAAGACCGAAACATAGAGCAGTCTGGGGAAATGAAAGAAAAAGTTTATATGGCATTTTGAATGAAAGTATATTTATAGTGCTATATTTGTAACTTGTCACTTGTTAAGTAATGTTTGCTTTGATGAAAAAGGGTGCAGTTTTAACGAATTTTTGGTTAACTATCACTGCATTTACATACATACCACTGCTGATGCATGCCATTGGAGTTAATCATTTTGGTTAATTCTATGGTACTTCTACTTTATAGTTGAACGAATTTTAAATTTATAGTTGAACGAATTTTAAGAAAATTGAAGCTAGGGGCATATAAATGAATGTGTTTATGAATCCGAACCAAATCAATCGAGTATGTGTTAGTTATGTAAATACTTCAGAATTGAGTGGCATGTATGTAAATGTTACAGCACTCCCCGGCACATAGTTTAAATATCTGGAGCTGTAATAGCAATTTAAATTGTGAAATTGAATTGGGAATTGCTATTAACATATGAATTGGGTTGCCAAACTGCGTGGTATCTGCATTTGGTAGTTGGCAATTTTACAGCACTCCCCGGCACATAGTTGGCTTGGTTCTCAAGGAACTTCTGGTATCGACATCTAGAAAAGAATTAGGGTGGATATTCCGGTGGACAAGTATCCAACAGTATGATCTTAATTGAGCTTTTTGTTTACTGTATAATTTCTCAGAAGTCTATCTTGCCTGTACACAATTGCATAATTTCCTTGAAGAATTATGTCCATAATTGTGAAATCATTGGAAAACCTTTCTGATATTGATCATGCTGGTCCTTCGCTTATCATAAAAATTGTGCATGAAAGTCTTGTGCATCTTTAATCTGACATTTGAGATTAGCTTACAATTATATTTGTTTTGCTTTTGTGCAGCTGAGTCACAGTTTAAAAACAATAGAAACACTACTTCAAAAAATGATATTAATTTATCTTACATTAGTTTATATGACTAACGTAAACAGTCATTTTGTAACTATTTCCATAAATTAGATATTATACTGCGATGTTCAAATTGCATTCACATATGTATTGTCATTGGTTGTTAACAGAAATTATACAATTAAAGTACAAAATTATACAATTAAAGTACGTATGTAATTATATTGCAGTGTTATGTATGTAAATGTCCCGTATATTAATTGAAGTATGCAATCCTTTTGATTTTTCTTTGGGGCAAGGCTGATTTGCCAAACTGCATGGTATTCTTTGCCCCATATAAAGTTCTTTATGTCGTTTGAATTCTATGCTCTATATATGCGAGCTGAAACATTAGCATTTACATACATACCACCTAAATTGGAGTTGAATTGATTTTGACATAAATATGAACTTCCTCTTTTGTTGCATTTTGGAGAAGATGAGCTCACGGATTTCCGGGACATCGTGACGAACACTCTGTCACTGTGGCCTCCAACCCTCACTGCTGACGTCACGTCAGCCACACAACTACGGGGGGAAGTTCTATATCTGCCCACGGAGCATCGCCGAATAGTGCAGGTTCTTCCATTGGGCAGACAGTTCGATTGATTCCTAGATGACATTGATCGAGAATGAAGAACATCACTTGAAGAAGTCTGGCACGGGAGCTACACCGTGTAAATGTAAAAAATAATATAATTATCTTGCTAATTGTCATTGTAATAGTTTTTGAGTTTTTTTTTCTCTTTATGTTATCGGTTACTTGAAATGTGTTTATTTAATTCTGGAATGTTATCATTGAAGTTTGAAATTAAGAGTAATCATGTACTTCTCTGAAATCTTTTGTTATGTAAAAGATGAATTATTGTTGTAATATATAGCACAAATGTGTACTTTAATTCACAGTCTAAATTTTTTAGCAACATTTACGTTTACATGTCCATAATCGTTGAAAAATTAAAATATGTGTTTGATCATCAAAGCTTCATATTCATAACTTCTAAAATTTATATATTATAAAAGTATGAATGAAAGTGTATTTCAACTTGGGAAAAAAAAATGGGCACACATCCCTTTGATTGGATTTATTTCAAGTATTCATCGATATTTGTTAAAAAATAGTTAAATTAATTAGTTCATTACTAATATGTTAAATCCTAAATGGAAAATATATTTAATACAATCGTGTCACTGAATACAAGAGCATTCTTATAACTAGTTTTTTATTTCATATGTTCACCTATCTAACAAGTTAAAATTTTAAAATATATTAATCAATCCCATAAATTTATTACATAAAAATTACTAACTAATTATCCAACAATTACATTTATTATATAATTAACACTTTCAAGTTTCACTAATTTATTACATAAAATATTTTGCTTTTGGAGTAAAAGAAATTTCAATGTTAATCTTTTTTTAAACATTTTACCAAACAAAGACAGAATGGTCATTTTTCCAGAAACAGCTGTTTCACATAGCTGCACCAAACAGACAATTAGCTTCCCCACAGCTGCTTCCCCGCAGCTGCTTTCTGGGGCAGCACAGCCGCAGCTGAAC